AAAAGATGCCCTTATGCAAATACGTTAAAGGCTATTTACTTGTTCCTTGAATTCTCAAACCAAACTAAATCTTCCAGTTACCATGAATTTTACTCCTCCAAAAATTTAAGAATGTCATGGAAGGTTGTGTAATAGCTAAAGTTGTGAGGATAATGTTTGATTATGTTGAAGTATAAATACTTAAGTTACACCCTCCCTAATAGTTTAACCTTTTGGAGTAGATGTTTATTGAACATGGTATTAGAGCAGGAAATCCGGTGTTTGAATCTCGCCGTCTCCCTAATTATTAAAAAAATTTTGAATGCTAGGTCGGGGGGTGTTGAAGTATGAATACTGAAGTTATGCCTTATATAATAGCTGAAACTTTTGGAGTAGATGATTGTTTAATAGATTATAACATAATAAATGTTTTGATAATAGGACTGTGAGAAAAGTGTCATATTTAACTGGCTAGATATATTATTGGGTAGGATTTTATTTTAAACTTATAGGATACTATGAAGTGTCATTTTCGTAATCAAAATTTCCGAGTTAGAACTAGTTTAAGGCCCTTAAACTAACTTTACACTATCTCAATGGATTCGATTAGTGTAGTAATGTGGGCAAACTCTTTATTTCTAGGCAATTTGGAATACCTTTTTGAATATGTATGTGATAGTTGAAATTGTAAAGATAGTATTAGGGTTTGTAAGAGAGAAGAAGAATAAGAGAGGCGAGAGATAGAGAGAAAGAAGAATCTTAATGTAGGTTTTGTTGCCATACATCCCTTTATTTATATTGAATAATATTTTGGGTAATTACAATTTTTGTTGTTTGTTCGAGTCATCGTGTTGACTCTAAGTTGAGCAATATGCCCCAATCGTCGATACAGGTGTGATTAATGAGTTTTGTGTATTGTATGTTGTTATAGTATTGGGCATGGTCGACCTTAAACCCTAATCGATAAAAGTGCAAGAGATGTAATATTTATGACTTAGGTTACTTCATGTGGATTAGTGTTAAAATCAATGGATGAGTAGACAATTCTTGTAAAAAATTATGTAGATTGTCATTATAGTTGCAATTTCGGAACGTTGCTTTAAAAGATTCCCTTATGCAAATACGTTAGAGATTGTTTGCTTGTTTCTTGAATTCTCAAACCAAACTAAATCTTCATGATACCACAAATTTTACTCCTCCAAAAAGTTAAGAATGTCTTGGAAGGCTGTGTAATACCTAAAAGTTGTGAGGATAATATTTGATTATATTGAAGTATAAATATTTAAGTTACACCATCTCTAACAGTTTAAGCTTTTGGAGTAAATGGTTATTGAACATGGTATTAGAGTACGAGGTTATGTGTTCGAATCTTGTCACCTCCCTAATTATTAAAAGATTTCCACGCGCTAGGTTGTGAATGGCGTGTTGAAGTATGAATACTAAAGTTACACCCTATATAACAACTAAAACTTTTGGAGTATAAGTCGAAAGCTACACACCAGATTATCTATAATGTAAAATAAAAGACACATATGCATAACATATATTTAATACAATCCAAACATTTTACCAATACAGATTCTCAATAGATAATGAAGAACTTTTATTAAATAATAAACTTGGTTTCATTACAAAAATCAAGCTTTTAGTATATAACTCTATCATTTTTGTTGGCACAAATTAATACCCTCCTTTAACTAGACAACCTTAATCCCTAGGAAGTACCGAATAATGCCCAAATTTTTGTTGTGAAATTGCTTCTCCAAATAGACCTTGAAGTGAGTAATACCATTTGAGTCATTACTACTAACGATGATATCGTTGATATACACAATAACATTAATAATGCCAGCAGCACACTGGCAAATGAAGACTGAATGATCTAGAGTAAAACCCTGAAAGCCAAATTGAAGTACAGTAGTACTAAACTTATCAAACCAAGCACGTGGTGATTACTTCAAGTTATAAAGTGCTTTCTTCAACCAACACACTAATTGTTCTTGGTCAGAGACATCATAACATGGAGGCTGACTCATATAGACCTCCTCCCGCAATTCTCCATGTAAAAAANCGTGGTGATTACTTCAAGTTATAAAGTGCTTTCTTCAACCAACACACTAATTGTTCTTGGTCAGAGACGTCATAACATGGAGGCTGACTCATATAGACCTCCTCCCGCAATTCTCCATGTAAAAAAGTATTCTTAATGTTTAGTGGACACAAAGAGCAGTCTCAACTAGCTACAACAGAAATAAGAATTGTAATAGAGTTAAGACGAGCAAATGAGAGAAAACTCTTAGCATTAATCTACACCATATGTCTGGGTGTAGACCTTAGNGTTGTTTAATAGATTATAACATAATAAATGTTTTGATAATAGGACTGTGAGAAAAGTGTCATATTTAACTGGCTAGATATATTACTGGGTAGGATTTTATTTTAAACTTATAGGATACTATGAAGTGTCATTTTCGTAATCAAAATTTCCGAGTTAGAACTAGTTTAAGGCCCTTAAACTAACTTTACACTATCTCAATGGATTCGATTAGTGTAGCAATGTGGGCAAACTCTTTATTTCTAGNTATGAAATTTGAAGACATTCAACCTAGAAACAAGGAAGGAAAGAGTTTTTTACATGAATTAAAATTTGTTTCGAAACGACCGAAATATTTCTGTTTTCAAGGAGACCGAAATGATCAGTGATGGAATCAAAATTTCACTGATTCGAGTTATGTCAAAATGTTTTAAGATGTTTTGGTTTGTTTCTGCCAATGTTTCAAGGTATTTCGAAATGTTTTGGTATATTTTGACTAATATTTCAGAATGTTTTGAAAATAAATGCTCAAATTTTTTATTCATTTTTATTTTATTTCTGAAACATTTCCGAATAATTTCAATTCCAAGATAATTAAAATAATACATTGAAACAAAATTTTGATCATTGTGTTTTTGCATGAGAAAATTGTAGGATGTAATACTTTCCAATGTAGCAACAACTTTTCCCTTCAAAAGTATCACAATTTTAGAAATTATGAGCTTGTTCAATTCTACCATTGTTCGGCCCCAGAGAGTTCAGAAAACAAAGACCACATCTCCTTTTACCACTACCAATTGTCTTCCNAACTATTGATATTGAATCTTCTTCCTAAAATTCTCTCTCTATTCTCATCCCATTCTTCTTTTTTCATCCCTTTCTTCTTCCCTTCTCATCCTTAATTCTTCCCTAATACGATCTATATCAATTTGGTAGCAGAGCTAGTGCGATCTACATCAAACTCCCAAGATCGACTCTTATGTCGGGTAGTTAGCTCTTCATCCTTAGCCTATTGGCAAAGAGGATCAACTATCACCTACTCATAGGAGTGGGTTTCAAGCAGGGAGTGAATAGAAGTAAAAAGGGTACAAAATCAGAAGAATAGCAAGAGTTGGAGAAACCAAACTTGTTTGGACACTTCTGAGAACGCTAAGGATAGCAGGGACCTTGATTAACAGGGTCCAAACTTCATGGAGGGATAAGAGTAGAAGGGGTGAAATTAAATTTTCTTGTTTAGCTCACTTCTATGTGTAGTATAGATGAGAGACGTGGTGAATGCTAAAACAACCAAACACAGATAATGAACTACAAAGTGGTTAGAAACAAGTATGTTAAGAAGGAAAGTGAGACGACAAGACCTCAATTGGTGTTTGAAATTTTCGAACCATAGTAAGCCATTCGATTGATGAAATATGACATGGTATGTCCTGTTAAGAGGGTTTGTATTCCACATCGAATAATTAAGATCACTAATGTTAATTTATATACTTGAGAGGCCATTCAACCAATTGATTTTGTGTTAGATACTCTAACATAGTATTCATATTTTAGTGGGATGAGCCATTTGAAACCTGATAAACTAGTTCTTGAAGAACCCTAGACATTGGAATAAGCAACAACAAAAGGTACAAAATGAGACTAGATGTTATTGTGCAAGTTCACACGCTTGACCATGAAATTTGAAGACATTCAACCTAGAAACAAGGAAGGAAAGAGTTTTTTACATGAATTAAAATTTGTTTCGAAACGACTGAAATATTTCTGTTTTCAAGGAGACTGAAACGATCAGTGATGGAATCAAAATTTCACTGATTCGAGTTATGTCAAAATGTTTTAAGATGTTTTGGTTTGTTTCTGCCAATGTTTCAAGGTATTTCGAAATGTTTTGGTATATTTTGACTAATATTTCAGAATGTTTTGAAAATAAATGCTCAAATTTTTTATTCATTTTTATTTTATTTCTGAAACATTTCCGAATAATTTCAATTCCAAGATAATTAAAATAATACATTGAAACAAAATTTTGATCATTGTGTTTTTGCATGAGAAAATTGTAGGATGTAATGCTTTCCAATGTAGCAACAACTTTTCCCTTCAAAAGTATCACAATTTTAGAAATTATGAGCTTGTTCAATTCTACCATTGTTCGGCCCCAGAGAGTTCAGAAAACAAAGACCACATCTCCTTTTACCACTACCAATTGTCTTCCTCGTGATAAGGGCTCGAAAAACGCAATGCAAGGGAAATAAAAGTTACGCCACAATTTGATTTCTTTGTAATGCTGTTGACAAAAAGAGATTATTAAAGAGATTAGGGTCTTGTAGGATGGATGAGGCAAACTGATATAGAACTCCTCGAATCTCGCTCCAACCCATTAGGTTATCTTTTGAAAGGTCTAATCAGCACCCAACACTTTCATTCCAGACAAAAAATTGCATCAGAAAAGGGATGGGGTTGCTTTTTTGAAAAATATTCCCGTTTTCTAAAAACAAAGACAAACAGGAAAAATCAAATGACCTCTTATCAACCTCAAAATTTGCGTATGGTATTTACTAGGCAATGAGGCCTTTGCATTCTTCATGTAGAGGTGATTTGGTGTAACTCAAACACTCTGATACAAAGTTTGTGCAAACAAATAGTCAAACAAAAGTGCCCTTCAGTTTATTATGAAAATAACACTATCACATTTTCTAACACCTAAAGGCACATGTTTGGAACCCTTGGTCTACCTTTTGAAGTCTGCTTGCCTAGATTTGTCTTGGCCTGTTGGTTGCCCTTGTGTTTTTTGGTGCCTCAGCTTGCCTCTGAAAACTGTGCTTCCAATAGATCATGGATGCCAAGAAATACCCATTATATTTGTGTTTCTAATCCCTACTCAAATGTGAAGCTGGAATTCATTCATCACTCCATCTGCATTATTAACCACCCTCTTATCCCGCATCACAAGAACTCTAACTGCTGCCAAGTGCTTCTTACCGAACCCAGTCTAAAGATCTTCCAGAAATTATAGTAATTGACCTGGGAAAAACTACAGCAGAAGAGAGTCATCTCTTGCCCTTTTGAATTTGGTCAAAATAAAAGAGGAATGCACATACTTTTATTAAAATTCTGAATTGTACATAAGTTATGAGTTGAAAGTTGAAACAAGGCTTTATTGAGTTGAATTGACTATATAAATAATGAATTACAAGATGTGTATTGAAATTTTCTTATATATAAGCAATGAGTTAGGACAAGGTCTTGTTAAGTTGTGTTGACTATACAAATTATGAATTTTAAGTTACTAGAAAATAAATGTAAAGGTTGTCTAATTAAGGATTTGTTAGAAACCAATTTTTTTTTTTTTATTAGAGTGCATAGTATGTGTTATAAATTTGTTTCAATCTTTTGTGTCCATATCGTTGGTTTTCAATTTGTATTATCTCTTTTATGTAGGCTGAATTTATTCTTTTCTCACTTCTTAGTGTTATTCTTTTCAATTAGTTTGTTTCACTATTATCTTATGCTGGTTTGCAAAAATATGTACCATATGCCTCCTCGAGTCACTTGATTTTTTTTATTGCCAGTGGAGGAAGGGTTTGAAGCTAAGTGGTGAGGGTGCAGTTGAAAGAATTACTTTAGATGGTGTCCGAGGGTTGCGTGTGATGTTGAGTGCTACTGTTCATGACGTATTGTACTACATGAGCCCAATCTACTGCCAGGATATCATTGACTCGGTATTGTATACTTTTGAATCCATATTTTTCCTTATGTACTTTACTAGTTCATATTTATGTTGACGGCATCATATTTGTGCCTTTTGAAATACTTGATTTGGTCTACATACATAGATGTTGATGATGTTCTTATTGTACATTCATGAGGTGTACTTTATCTATATATAGATCATTTTATGCTTTCCTATTTATTTTAGCGGCGGTATGTTGGACTTAGGACATCGATAACATTGTTCAAGGTCGCGTTATTGGGCATTGACTTGGTGGACACTGATATGTATTGGTCGCGTTGTAGTGATATGGTATAGGTAGATAGGTTCAAAACGCTAGATAGAAGTCCTAAAATTTTTTCAACAAATAGGAAATTTTTTTTAAAAAATAAACAGCATCATCCATGCATTATATGTCCATAATACATCCACAACCACATTAAACATAATGAAAACAAATATGAGGATGCTATCGAAAATAGTTATCTTCAAAAATTAAAAAATACTAATATCCCATTGTATATCAAGAGAAAATTTACCCAAATTAGACTTAGGAAAAAGTGTTCCCAAAAATAAATTGACCACTGGTTAAAACTAGCAATAGAGTTTGACAAGAAGTTTGAGGGTTTTAATGGTTAATCAAATTAGGCCACTGTTAGTCAGAAACAGTCTTTCAAAAGGCTCTGTTTGCGTCTCAAAGGCGTTTCATCCATCTCAGTTAACAGTTGAAGAAGGCACTAACGATCATTAGGAAGGCGGATGAGGTTGGGCTTTTGCTTTCATTGCAGCTCGCTACTAATTCATAGCAAACAAGAAGAAGGGTAATAAAGAATTAGGAGTAGAAGAAGAAGAAGGAGATTGAGCTCTCCGTATTCAATTATACAGGTATGTCTTGTTAATCTTTACAATCCTTCTTTGGTATATATAGTTGTAAAAGGTGTTGAGGGCTTTTACAGAGGTGGGTCATGGCATTCTTCACCTTTTTCTTTTTCCATTGGATTTTTGCTCTTTGTTTGAGTCATACCGCGTTGACTCTAAGTTGAGCTATATGCTTGAATTGGCGACAATGATGTGATTCACTAGTTTTGTGTATTGTATGTTGTTATCGTATTGGGTGTGGTCGAACTTGAACCCTAATCGATAAAAGTGCAAGAGATGTAACATTTATGATTTAGGTTACTTCATGTGGATTAGTGTTAAAATCAATGGATGAGTAGATAATTCTTGTAAAAATTTATGTCGATTGTCATTATAGGTGCAATTTCGAAACGTTGCTTGAAAAGATGCCCTTATGCAAATACGTTAAAGGCTATTTACTTGTTCCTTGAATTCTCAAACCAAACTAAATCTTCCAGTTACCATGAATTTTACTCCTCCAAAAATTTAAGAATGTCATGGAAGGTTGTGTAATAGCTAAAGTTGTGAGGATAATGTTTGATTATGTTGAAGTATAAATACTTAAGTTACACCCTCCCTAATAGTTTAACCTTTTGGAGTAGATGTTTATTGAACATGGTATTAGAGCAGGAAATCCGGTGTTTGAATCTCGCCGTCTCCCTAATTATTAAAAAAATTTTGAATGCTAGGTCGGGGGGTGTTGAAGTATGAATACTGAAGTTATGCCTTATATAATAGCTGAAACTTTTGGAGTAGATGATTGTTTAATAGATTATAACATAATAAATGTTTTGATAATAGGACTGTGAGAAAAGTGTCATATTTAACTGGCTAGATATATTATTGGGTAGGATTTTATTTTAAACTTATAGGATACTATGAAGTGTCATTTTCGTAATCAAAATTTCCGAGTTAGAACTAGTTTAAGGCCCTTAAACTAACTTTACACTATCTCAATGGATTCGATTAGTGTAGCAATGTGGGCAAACTCTTTATTTCTAGGCAATTTGGAATACCTTTTTGAATATGTATGTGATAGTTGAAATTGTAAAGATAGTATTAGGGTTTGTAAGAGAGAAGAAGAATAAGAGAGGCGAGAGATAGAGAGAAAGAAGAATCTTAATGTAGGTTTTGTTGCCATACATCCTTTTATTTATATTGAATAATATTTTGGGTAATTACAATTTTTGTTGTTTGTTCGAGTCATCGTGTTGACTCTAAGTTGAGCAATATGCCCCAATCGTCGATACAGGTGTGATTAATGAGTTTTGTGTATTGTATGTTGTTATAGTATTGGGCATGGTCGACCTTAAACCCTAATCGATAAAAGTGCAAGAGATGTAATATTTATGACTTAGGTTACTTCATGTGGATTAGTGTTAAAATCAATGGATGAGTAGACAATTCTTGTAAAAAATTATGTAGATTGTCATTATAGTTGCAATTTCGGAACGTTGCTTTAAAAGATTCCCTTATGCAAATACGTTAGAGATTGTTTGCTTGTTTCTTGAATTCTCAAACCAAACTAAATCTTCATGATACCACAAATTTTACTCCTCCAAAAAGTTAAGAATGTCTTGGAAGGCTGTGTAATACCTAAAAGTTGTGAGGATAATATTTGATTATGTTGAAGTATAAATATTTAAGTTACACCATCTCTAACAGTTTAAGCTTTTGGAGTAAATGGTTATTGAACATGGTATTAGAGTACGAGGTTATGTGTTCGAATCTTGTCACCTCCCTAATTATTAAAAGATTTCCACGCGCTAGGTTGTGAATGGCGTGTTGAAGTATGAATACAAAAGTTACACCCTATATAACAACTAAAACTTTTGGAGTATAAGTCGAAAGCTACACACCAGATTATCTATAATGTAAAATAAAAGACACATATGCATAACATATATTTAATACAATCCAAACATTTTACCAATACAGATTCTCAATAGATAATGAAGAACTTTTATTAAATAATAAACTTGGTTTCATTACAAAAATCAAGCTTTTAGTATATAACTCTATCATTTTTGTTGGCACAAATTAATACCCTCCTTTAACTAGACAACCTTAATCCCTAGGAAGTACCGAATAATGCCCAAATTTTTGTTGTGAAATTGCTTCTCCAAATAGACCTTGAAGTGAGTAATACCATTTGAGTCATTACTACTAACGATGATATCGTTGATATACACAATAACATTAATAATGCCAGCAGCACACTGGCAAATGAAGACTGAATGATCTAGAGTAAAACCCTGAAAGCCAAATTGAAGTACAGTAGTACTAAACTTATCAAACCAAGCACGTGGTGATTACTTCAAGTTATAAAGTGCTTTCTTCAACCAACACACTAATTGTTCTTGGTCAGAGACGTCATAACATGGAGGCTGACTCATATAGACCTCCTCCCGCAATTCTCCATGTAAAAAAGTATTCTTAATGTTTAGTGGACACAAAGAACAGTCTCAACTAGCTACAACAGAAATAAGAATTGTAATAGAGTTAAGACGAGCAAATGAGAGAAAACTCTTAGCATTAATCTACACCATATGTCTGGGTGTAGACCTTAGCAATCACCTGTGCCTTCAAATGTTTAAGAGACCCATCATGATAAATAAGATCATCGTGAGAACTATATGTAGATGTAGCATGACCACCGGTCGTTCGTTGAGATATAGGTGGAGTTGGGTCATCAGCATAGGCTGGTGGCCCATGGTTATCCTAACAATAATCCTCAGTATGGGTCATGGCTCCATAATAAGAACATTTCCACTCAGAATGATTACCCTGACCACTACGACTACTATGTCTTCCTCTACTAGAACCTCTGCCACCACGGTCATCACCTTAAGCGGGAAGTCGACCACCATGATGACCACCATCACTAGAAAGTAATGTAGTAGACTCCTATGATGGTGAGGAATTCCCATGAATGAGAGAGGCTCTTTGAAGACGAGAATAAGCATTGGCAGTAATAGTTTCCCACTAATTGAAACTCTTCACGCTGCCGATGTTGTACCTCTAGGTTCGCACTTAATGGCTGATAAAGCAGAAGTTCCTTCGACAACCCTTTCAAAGTGTCATAATGCTTAGCCACTTGGTATTAAACCTATGTTCAAATAGTTTATAGATCTGGGACACATTTCGTTTTTGTGAATACATCTCCTCACGAGAGTCTCAAATCTTCGTAGCAGTATCAAGAAGTTAAACAATACAAGCCACTAATGGTTCCATTATAAGCCACAATCAGGTCATCACCAAGGAATTTTCACTCGATCAGTCTTCTTCACCCTTTGATTGTTCTGGAGGAAGGCTTTCTGTCAAATACTTGACTTTCCTTTTAGCCCTCAAGAACACCTTAATAGCATGGGGCCAAGAATGATAATTGGTTCCATTTAACTTCACAG